CAGTGACAGTAGTAGCATTGACTATTGGAATTGGATACAGAAGAAGACATCCCCCATCCATGGATCAGCTGTCGCCAATTTTTTACTAAAAAAGAATGTAGTTGTGTGAGCCAATCACAGGTTGCGCTAGTGTCTAAAACTCTATTTTGTACCTTATTTAGGGGTAGCAGATTTTTATCCCCCTGGAATTTCACCCCCTGGGCAAACGTGACGTCACAAACCAGGGGGTAAAATTCCGGCCGTGAACTTTTGAGTTTCGCGACATCAGCTCGATGGATTAAACGCGGAATTAAACATATATTTTTACGGTTGTGGATTTAATCAGAACACATCAAATTATAAAATCCTAGAATGTACGGCCCGGATTTTTACCCCCGGAATTTTACCCCCCGGATTTTTACCCCCGGAATTTTACCCCCTGGCCAGATATATAAATGAGTGAGAATGATTAATTATCTTCATTCAGTTTTAATTTACAGAAAACATTTTATTATTAAGTAGCCTATCTTAACTTATTTGTAACATATTAACTAATTGAACAGCTTTTTAATTTTAATTTTGAGATTCGAGTATCAGGATTCGATCTTTGAAGCCAACTGTTGGTTAATATGATCAAAATAAAACAGCGAATTCTGTTTACTTAGTTGAGATTACAAAATAAATAAAGATAGGCTATTAAATAATTAAATGTTTACAATTAATTAAAAACAGAAATAAGGAAATCAATCATTAAATTTCTAAAATCGGCCAGGGGGTAAAATTCCGGGGGGTAAAAATCCGGGGGTAAAATTCTGGGGGTAAAAATCCGGCCCGTACATCTTCAGTTGTCTAAACGATAGTTATATGGACAGGGGTAAAATTCCAGTTTTCATCGCTAATCTAATTAATCACGCTCTGACTATTTTCATTAGACTTCCAAATCCGCGGGGGTAAAATTCCGGCAAACTTTTCGCCACTCAGGTTACTACGTCATAGTGACGTCAGCTTTGCCCAGGGGGTAAGATTCCAGGGGGATAAAATTCCGGCGACCCCTTATTTATCATTCATGCTCTTTCATTTGATATGTCACAAGGGGTACCTTGCTATTAAAAAAATTAAGTTCCGGGGAAGGGGGGGGGAATATCTCGAAAATTTATGAACCGATTTTCAATTTTTTTTCATCAAACATTTTCTTTTTTCATGCTCTTTCATTTGATATGTCACAAGGGGTACCTTGCTATTTAAAAAAAATAAGTTGGTGGCAGGGGGAAAGGGGGGAATGTGAATGTAACGTTGAATTCAAAACAATTGGGCCCCCTACGTCAATAGATGATTCCCGCAAACTGCATATTTCTATCTATTGCGGTTTTTACATAAATAAAGATGCAAGTTAAAAAAAAAAAACACCCTGTATAATACGTGAAGGCGATTTCTACGAGACACTACTCCTCCGTTAATAATGGACGGATTTTTACTAACGACGTGTCAAAATAAAGTATTTTTTGTGTAGACGCCCCTTTCACCAATTCCTGTAATAAAAATCCTCGGGCTTTGCCCCACAGGCCATCAAAGTTGGATTTACTCCCATAAGATTAACATGGGGGAATTTAAATATTTGATTGGAAACTTTGTCCCTACTAATTTGAGAGAACGGATGGGCGTAGGAACTTGGTAGGGGTGTCCAAAGAAAGGTCTTGGTCTGTAGATGAGTTATTAAAAGAAAAATTAAGCAAAATCCCTTAGGGCTCTGCCCCAGAAGCCTTTAAAGATCCCTCCACAGAGCTGTTTACATTTTGGCCATGCGAATAATACTTTTAAAAATACGGAACTATATTCTCAAAACGCGGAGCACATTTCTTGCTGAGGAAAAATAGCGGAGTGATACGGACCGCGGGTAGTACCGTTAATCACTGATACTAGATGCCTTGGAGTATCAGTTACCACAGTGATTTTCAAGTATCAGTGAAAAATATCAGTGACGTGATTTCAATCCCATCACTAGCGGGTACTACTTTCTCTAGGACTAGGACACCATTTGTGTTGCCAGATGAACCTAAAAACGTGTTGTATAGTGTTTGAATTATTTATATGCTTTATAGTGACTGTAGGGAAAATATAATGTGTAACACGAGTGAAAAAGGCCTTTGCTGCACTCAAGATCATTCCTAATTGATATGAATAATGTTCCGTAAACATTGCTCTCGTGTGCAGCAAAGTGCCTCTTTCACCACTTAGTTACGAAATAGTTATTTGTGTAACTAGTGGTGAAAGTGGCACTTTGCTGCACACGAGAGCAATGTTTACGCACGAACCGCAGGCGAGTGTGGAATGATCTCTGCAGCATAGGCCTTTTTCACTCGTGTTACACATTATATTTTTCCTACAGTCACTATAAAGCATATAAATAATTAGTCTTTCAAACACTATGCAACACGTTTTTAGGTTCAGTTGGCAACACAAATGGTGCCCTAGAGAAAGTAGTACCCGCGGTCCATATCACTCCGCTATTTTTCCTCGGCAAGAAATGTGCTCCGCGTTTTGAGAATATAGTTCCGTATGTTTTTGTAATTTGAAGTGGTTTCCGCGCCTAAAAAAAATGCTTAAAAGGTATTTTCTTGTTTATTAAGATCGTAGGAAGGTTTTAAAAACGTTTAAAAGAAAAGTCCAGAAAGTTCAGAAATACCGAAACTATAAACACGAAATGACAGGTTAAATCGTAGTTATAATGCGAGCCTTTCAAGACCGGAAAATGCCGCGCTTCTGCGCATGCGCTAGTAACTGGTGGCGTAGCAGCAGCTATTTCAGAAAGTCACGGTCACTAACCAATAACTAGCGTCGTTGTCGTAATATTTATCTTGACTGCACTGCAACTGCAACTAGTTCCTCATAATTATTATTCATATAGTTTATTATTCTTTATGTTATGATCGAGTTATGTCTGAGTTGAAGTTGGGGTTAATGTTATTGATAGATTTTTATTGCTGCTGTGTTGTGGAGGTCATTTATTATCGATGATGTGCTCCTTCTTCAATGCGAAGATTCTGAGAAATACGAGTAATATGGAAGACATCAATAACACTGGAGTACTTTGTAGTTTATGTGGAAAATTTTATTTTTAGTTTATGGACGAGAAGTACAGAAGGATTCCAATTAATAAGCCAGCTATGTTCAACAAGGCAAAGCCAATAAAATAATTTGTTTTATTCACTAGCGCTTTTGAATGGAAAACTTGTTTCTGAAAGCGCTAGTGAATAAAATAAATTACTATGTATTAGCGTTGTTGAACATTTACATTTTGTTATACATTTCATATTTCATTGTAAGCAAGATGCCAATAATTCTCAAAAAGCTTAGACCATTAAAAATGAAATGAGAATTGGGATCTTCTCTTTTGGAAAACATGTTTGGGTACAATTGAAGATAGATGAATAGATGATAACGGTAACGTAGCCCACCCAAGTTACTTAAAATTTATTTTATAAAATAAAGGAGGTGCCAGAGGTTACAGTAAGTAAAGTAACACATACATAAACATAATCTGTAAAATTCTTCATTCAGTTACAGTAATTAAATGGTTTGGAGTTAAGCGCGGGAGAACCGTTCCAGTTTCAAGTAGATTGTTGCAAGAGTTGCAGTGAAGATACTAGTGTGATTTTCTGAAACAGCTGCAGCTGCTACAAGTGCTACGAATAACGCTTACTTGCGCATGCGCAGACGCGCGGCATTTTCCGGTCTTGAAAGGCTCGCGTTATAATAGTCAATCAGCTGCTCATAGTATAATTATCTTTAAGTGTTGCCAACCTATTTCCAAGCGTACACGGATTACGTGCATAATGGAACCACGCTGTTTTGTGTTGTTTCGTTGGAATCCTGATGTGCGGCAAAGTATAAACCGTACGGCAAAGTATAAACCGTACGGCAAAGTATAAATATGCAGCAATTAGCAGCTTTCTGTACTATAAACAGTACAAGGAAGCCAACTTTGTCGGGTGACTGTAGGAAAATTAATATTTTGAGGAGTATGTTTTATCTATGGTGGTAGTTAAAGGTGGCCGTGGTTCTGATGGTTAATACGGTTAATATGAATGTTATTTGTTCATTGGGCTATGAAGTATCAACCAAATTGCTACCCAAATCAGTTATCTATATATATAAAATCCAATGTATGTTTGTATATTTGTATGTTTGTATATTTGTATGTTTGTCCTTTATGGACTCGAAAACCGCTCGACAGATTGTAATGAAACTTTCAGGCATTATTAAGCATTATTCAAGGATGGTTTGTGTGAAGTTTGGTGCAGACCCGTCAATAGGGCTCCGCCCCAGTGGCTCTGGAGTTTCCCATGTTAACCTTATGAGTACTCATATTTAAATGGAATTAACGAATCTTAACAGCTAGTGCAACTAAACAATTTGATTCTGTGATGTTCAATAGCATTAAAAAGTTAATAGGTTTACCAACAGGGTGCAGCACTATTATTTTTTTAAATTTATGACAACAGCTAATTTGCAACCAAAAGGTGAGTGAGCGTAGCGAACGAACTTCAACCTCGAGGCGAGTTAGCGTAGCGAACGAGCTAACCTGAAGGCAAGTGAGCGCAGCGAACGAGCTCCAACCTAAAGGTGAGTGAGCGTAGCGAACGAACTTCAACCAGGACGTGATTGAACCATGCGAACGAGCTCATCTTGAATATGAAAATGAACGAGCATGTGACATAAAACCACAATAGGACAGGACGACGTCTGTCGGGCCAGCTATTTAGATATAAATGAGAAAGATCATGTTTAGGACAGCAGTTCTCTTCTAAAAAGCTTAAACATGCCAATAGCTTGATCACTAGAAAAAGAAACTAACAAATATAATCAACGATGCTATTCATAAATCAACATGATTCTGAAGGCACTAGATGAGTAGAGTGTAGTGAGTGGATGGAGTGGAGGGAAATGGAACACTGAACACTGGGACTTAGGAGTGGAAAAGTGGAATGGAATGGATTAATGGAATGGAGAATGGAATGATTGATGATAATGATAAGTTAAGTAAAAAGTTGTCATGTTGTTGATGTCGTCAAGCTTTGTAAAATATTTATAGACTTATATTAGAATATTTTTGTGCTAGGAATTTCTACTAAAATCAAGGTGTTGATTTAATTTTTAAGATGAGTGCTCCTCAAAAACCCTGGGAAAGTGGGCGATGCAAAGCCCATCGCAGCACAAATCCAGGAGTAATATCAGGAAAAGGAAGGTAAGAAAAACAACTACATCATCTCCTGTTTAAGTCTTCTTAATTGTCAATAGAATAAATATCAAGAACTAAGAATTAAAAAAAAACCCTCTTTCATAATAGCAGTTGGACCTTGTTCAGCTTACTTTCATAAGCCTACTGGGAGACACAAAACAATAAGTTACACAATAGGCCTAGGTAGGCCTAGGCCTAGGCTAGATTGTCAAATTTTGATTTTCATCCATTGCTCAGAACCGTGTTCTTCAAACCAAGCTTTGTAGGTTGTAGGCCAAGGAGCAGGCTGGGTGGGATGTGATCAAACACTGGCATCTAAAGTAATACTTTGCTTTCTCCGAAAATTGGATTAGGCCCTAGTTTTTTCCCTAATGGTTGGGTGGATGGTGGAATAGGCCTACAAGAATAAACCAAGCGGGTAACAATCAGCAGTAAATTAAATTTTTAGCATTGTAAATCTTAACTTTCTGGAATTTTCTTTTAACCCTCCGAGTGTTAACCCTAGCAGTGGCCAATGTTAGAAGTGGGGAATGGCCAACCCATTTTGGCGATTTTGCAGACCTTTTTTTGAAAATTCGTAAAAATTCGACCGTACAAGTAAACCTAGCCAACCTCATATCCCATTTTGTTTGGAAAGAACAGGAGAATCTAGAAATAGTATTATCATAATGATTTAGACAGTGTATTTTATCGGTAAAGTGAAAAAATAAAAAAATTTGAATTTTTTTGAAATTTCAAAAGCGGCCTCGGTATTTTTTTTTCTATGGATTTTTTATGGGAAATTCATTATATACATTTTGTAGACAATTTAATTCCCTACATAGAAATATAGCCTATACAGTAACATGTTAGGAAAATATTTTTTTTTATAAGTTTTTGGGGCGAAATATAATGACAAACGGAGAACCGAAAAAATTGAAAACCGTACAGTGTTAGTTTTATGTTGTAAAAAGTTATATAGGTAATAGGCTATATGTGTATACTAATAATGATATATACATGTTTGTAAAGCTAATGAAGTAAGGAATAAAAAAAAGTCATAAAGTTTATGGTAAAAATAATTTTTTACCTATAAACATACGTATATAAAATAATGTTTTTATATTTTAGCGATTTCGCGAGAAAAAAGTTCACAGTATTTAGTATACAATTTTTGTACCAAATATTTTACTTCAAACCAACATAATAATCTTGTAGTGTATTCAATTACGTACATAAAAATGTATAACATGTTAGAAATATTTTTTTGTAGGTACGTAATAGGGACATAATAATACAATAACCGCAAAACCGCAAATAAGTGTTTAAACTATAGCCTACAGTGTTTGTTTGTGTTGTGAAACATTATGTAGGCTGATGATATGTAGCCTACATATTTGTAAAGCTAATGAAGTAAGAAATCCAAAAAAGTCAAGTTCGTGGTTTAGGCAGTCGAAAGCTTTACTAAAATCTAGGAAGAGGCTTGTTGAAGTGCTGCCTTCTTCTAGTTGGTCTAGTATGTGCTCCGTCAGTTGTATTAAGGCTGTGGCTGTCGATCTGCCTTTGATAAATCCATGCTGTTGACTATTGAGAAGGTTGTGTTCTTGAAGATGGTGTAGGAGTTGGGCTAGTACTATCTTTTAGATTATTTTTGAAAACGTTGATATTAGGGAGATTGGCCTGTAGCTGTTTCTTTCTATCGTTGGTCCATTTTGGTATTTTGGGTAGACTTAAGCTATTTTTAATTTATCTGGGAATTTTCCTTGTGAGAGTGATTTATTTATGAGCTCTGTCAGGGGTATTACTATTTCATTTTTACAGTTTTTTAGAAGTTTAGCTGATACCTCATCAGTTCCGGATGAATTTTTCATTTTTAGAGATTGAATGGTCTTTTGCACTTCTTTTTGTGTGACCCGTTTGAACTGGAGTGTGTGATGTGGCATTGGTTCTAGAGTTATTGTTATTTTGGAGTGTTCGGTCGGCTATTGATGAGAAAAAATCAAATCATTAAAACAGTTTGAAACTTCTATTGGGTCGTCTATTGTTTTATTGTTGACTTGAAGATGGATTTGGTTTTCAGTATTTGATCTCGCTTCCCTTTCTCGGTTTATTGTTTGCCACAGTGCTTTAGACTTGTTTTCAGCCTGGTTTATGTGAGCTGTGTTGTTTTCTTTCCGAAGCATTTTCAAATGCTGGTCGTACTCCTTTTTTTTAATAGTTGTTCTGGCTTTGTCTTCCATAAGTCCGGTTGTTTGCTCCTTTTCTAAGGCCTTTATATATTCATTTTTAAGTCTAGCCGATTCTTGATTCCAGCACTGTCTCCTTTTATGCTGTTTAACTCTTGACGTTTTAAGAGGGCAGGCGTGGTTTAGTGTTGTCTGGATGATGTTGCTGAAATTGTTGTAGGCTTCATCTACGTCATGAGTTTGTATTATAGTTTCCCAGTCTTGTTCTTGTAGTTGTGTCTTAAAGTTATCTATTGTTGTTTTGTTGAAGATTCGTTTATTTTCTTTGATGTTGTTGATGATCGGTTTTCTAGTGATGATTTTTGCGATTTGTGCGGTATGGTCAGATAGTTCTGATGTTATAACTGAGGTTTCTATTTGTTGATTATCAATGTTTGAGCATATCCAGTCTATTGATGTTTCTGAGTCACTTGTAATTCGAGTGGGAGGTAGCCTCAGTCTTGAGATATTGAAGGAGGTTAGGAGTTCTTCAATTTTTTTGTTTTCATTGTCATCAACTAGGTTGTTTACATTGATGTCTCCCATTATTAATATTTGCTTATCCGTAGTGAGCACTGTTTCCAGTTGTTCAGAGAGTATATCGATGGCTTGGTCTAGGTTTGCACTTGGTGGCCTGTATACTCCGAGGACCAGCAGTGGATTCCTGTTTAGCTTCAGTTCAAAGAGCACAGTTTCGCAAATCAGTTCTGTTTCCTCGCTACTTGTGCATATGAGTGATACATGCTTTTCCCAGCCACTTCTTACGTAAGCGACCACTCCTCCTTTGACATGGGATTTCCTTGAGAAGCCTCCAATAAGTGAGTAATTTTCTACCCACGTGTTTTGCAAGTTTTGTTGTGCTACGCCGTGCTCTGTTATTATGATCAGGTCCGGGTCTTCATCTTGGAGGAAGTGTGCTAGTCTATCAGTTTTTTTTAGATAACCAATTTATGTTTTGGTGTAGAATTTTAAGTCCTTGTTGGCTATTAGGTGTTTGGAATTTTACTGTACGGAGTGTCGGAGGGGATGTGTTACATCTTTGAGCTGGTTTTTGTGCTTTTCTCTGGGATGAGGGTGTTCTTCTAAAAAATGATGTTGGGAGGTGGGAGTGTTTAGGGGTTCTTGTGTGCAACTTTGGTTTTTGTTAGTTTGTAGTGTGTTTTTATACTTTGGGAGGGGTGGTTCTGCGATTTTCTCAATGTTGATGAGGTATTTGGAAAGTTCCTGGGAGCTAAGCAAGTTTGCTTGTTGTATCCAACGTCCTAGTTTATCATTACTGCTGGGTGTTGGAATGAGTGTGTGTGCCTTGAGATAGCAACGATGCAGTGGTGCTGCGACTCATAAATTTCTTCTCTTTTAGCAGATGTTCGTATGACAGCTATGTTTTCTGCTTGCCGTCCTTGAAATTCATGTATAAGATGCGTTGAAGCCTAGCTGTTTAGTTCTCTTTTCTCAGCTTGTTTGAAGACCAAGCATTTGTATTTATTTTTGTCGAGAGTGAGGTTCAGGCTTTCTAGTCCCTGGTACTGCTGTGTCGCCAGTTCTTTCTCTGTCTGGTTGGTGGTTTGCATTCCTTGGCTGTAGAATTTTGAAAGGATGGCTGTGGTGCTCTTTGTGCATCTGTAAGTGGTGTTTAGTATTTTTGTTGTTGTGGCTATTTCTGTAATGTTCTGGTATTTAATTTCTAGGTTCTCTGCTCTGTTTATATATGGTATTTGGTTCATGTCGCCAATAAGCAATAGGCTACTTCTTTAGCAGTTGATAAAATGGCTGCAAAGAGTATTTCTCCGGCATGCATCATTAGGGCTTCGTCGATGAAGAGCCTGTTATAGGTGTTTCCTCTCTTAAGATGTTGGGTGGAGTTTATTATGAATGAATGCACGGTTCGGAAGGTGTCATTGCATTTTGCCTGGCTATGGTCTAGGTGGTTGGTTTTGTATCTCTGTCGGAAGTCCATTGCCGCATCTCTTGTAGGAAACAGGATGAGGTCCCCTGTAGCATAGTTGTTGAGTAGGAAAGTTGTTTTCCCACATCCTGGCACACCTTGGACTAAGTTCAGTTCAGTGTTGTATGAGTTTTTAATGTCAATGTGTTTTGTGCTATTATAGAGATGTAGTTCGTTTAGGAGTATTGTCTCGTCTGATACTAAGATGTTTTGATTAATTGCTATGTTGTTTGGAGCAGTTGCATAGTTTCCATTACCTTTCCTCAGTAGTTGCACTAGACGTGCTCCATCGAAACCGAATTGGTAAGGTGTTGTTTCTTGTTGGGTGAGGAAGTTTCCAGTGTTCAGGTTTATGATGGCGTATTTGTTTTTGGTTCTATTACAGAAGTCTTGGAGTTTAGGGTCGTCTTTTTGGAGGCTGCTTATATTGTACTCCTTGTATATGGTGTTAAGGTGGTGTAGCAACATCGATTCTTTTGACTTCCAAAGTTCTCTTTGCTCAAGCATCGCTGCTTGAGCGAAGCTTTCCTCACTGTTGGATGGTAGACATGGAGGTTGATAGGTGTTAATTCCTGTGTATGTTCCCGAGTTGTTCTCGAAGTACTGTAGTACGAGGTTTTTGCTTTTCCTGGGAATATTTTTGCTATTTTCCTTTGTACCCTGTCTGTAGTGTGGTCAATGAGGTCATCAATAATTTTTTTGTAGTCTTTTGTTTGTGTGTAAATCCGGAAACGATGTAGGTAGGCATTACATGAATATTGTAGTAGTATTTGTATTATTTCTCTGATGTGTAGTTTGCTGAGGCTGGCAGTTTCTATGAATTCTTCGAGTCTGATAGAGAAAAGTACTGGGAATTT